TTTCAAGGATTGAAGAGTGATGGAAATACTCTTTTGAGGATGAGAACTAAATACTCTCTAAGACGTTCTTGCCTGGCAACTAGAAGCTCTAAATTCCTTCAGTCTCTCTCCCTCTCTCCCCCACCTCCCTGCTCCACGCACCCCTCCCCCCCACCGTTGTCTGTGCCATGCATCGACATCATCCTTTTCTCTGTACACTGGGTTCTCTGAAAGCTTCTTGGTTACTGCTGCTCTGTAAGAATGATCCGAATTTTCATGGGCCAAACTATGGCAGACTATACCTGACTTCCAATTCCCAATATCCACTACCTCAGTTTCTGTGTCTCAGTACAAACTGTAGAGATAGAATTCTATTAGCTCAGCTTGAGTCTTGTAACTATCTTAGTCCACTCACCAGGGGCCAAAAAATAGGTCTGTGTTTGCCCATTTATTCAGTTGGAGCTGTGAGGCGGCACTGGCCTGCTTCTACTACCCCAAACACACCAAAGCAAAAACCAGATGCAAATATAGTCCCTGTTATATCTTTTTTTCCATATGACCTGAAATTTACGATATGAACATCTCTACTATGTTAACTAATATGGGGCATGCTTCTAAGGGCCACTATGATAGCACTGATCTGTTACTTAAGAAGATAAATTAGTTAAAGGATTTTTGTTTCCTAATGGAAATTTATAAAGAAAGCCAAGGAAGGAGGAGAATAGTGGGGGGGGGGGGAAAGTGCGTACCTTACTTTCTAGCGAATTGCCTCTTAAATATCTCCAGAACTGTTCCATTTTTCTTTATCTTTCTGCTACTTCCCCAGTTCAGACCACCTTTTCCTCTCTATTTAACTAATCCAAAAAATTCTGGCTGGACTTCCTGCCAGTAATCTTTCCCTCCTCTAAACCATTGTCTATATTCCAGCCAAAGGGCTTTTTTTCCCTAAAATATAAATCGGGTCGTATCACTCTGCTTTGAATCCTTCAAACAATTTCCTAGTGCCCACAGATGAAATTCAAACTTTTTTTTTTTTTTTTAAAGATTGTATTTATTTATTTGAAAGACTGAGAGAGAGCATGAGCTGGGGGGAGGGGGTAGGAACAGAGGGAGAGGGAGAAGCAAATGCCCTGCTGAGCAGGGAGCCCCACACCCAGGTTCAATCCCAGAACCCTGAGATCATGACCTGAGGTGAAGGCAGCTGCTTAACTGACTAAGCCATCCACGTGCCCCAAAATTCAAACTTAAAAATCTTACAAGTCCCCTCATGATCTGGTTAATTGCCTTCCAACCTCACTCCACTCCCTCGGCTCCAGCCACAATGAACTTCCTTTAGTCATCAAATGTAGAATGCTCTCTCCTAGCCAGCAAATGCCAACCCAGAATTTATTTCCTGAGGCTTTGGTGAGACCCCTAGGCCTGAGTTAATGCCTCTCTTCATATGTGCTCTTTTTCTTGTATCTTTGCATTATTACAGTGTCCTGTATTATAACTGCCTTTTGATTTGCTTATACCCTTCGCCCACATTTACTCAGACCCTACAATGTTGTACCAGGCAGTATGCTTAGCACTCTACATGCGTTATCTCATTTTATTTTTACTATATCTCAATTAAGTACGTTCTTTGATTCTATCTGGGTTACACATGAGTAAACTGGGACTTGGAGAAGTTGTTCCAGCCAGACAGCTAGTAAGTGGTGGAGGTAGGCTTTGAACCTGGGCAGTCAACCAGACACTTCTAATATCTTCTCTCAACAGGAACAGCTTCTGTCTTGTTCACCATTCCTGTCCCCACTTATCTACCACAGTGTGGCACATAGCAAATGTGGAATCCTTTTTGCTTACAGCTGACTCCACTCTTTATGCATAATTTTTTATTCTTTTTTTTTTTTTAAAGATTTTATTTATTTGAGAGAAAGACACAGAGAGAAAGGGAACACAGGCAGGGGGAGTGGGAGAGGGAGAAGCAGGCTTGCTGCTGAGCAGGGAGCCCGATGTGGGGCTCAGTCTCAGGACCCTGGGATCATGACCTGAGCTGAAGGCAGACGCTTAACGACTGAGCCACCTAGGCATCCCAGAATTTTTTATTCTTAATCGGAGTTACGTGACTTAAAAACCAAGAGGCCTGCCTGCCCCAAATAAATCCCCACCAGTATTTGTAAAGGCTGCAACTACAAGATCTGTGCCCCTTTTCTTCCCTCCTCCCCTCAAACTCTCTTTTAGGCCATCACGGTGTTGTTTACTCTGTAAGGAGTTTGAAGTCACTGTCTTGAGCAGGTGATTGTCAGATAGAAGTAGACATCCATTCCCAAAGCCCTGTATGCACGTTCCTGAACTTTTGGCCCTCGGATGTCAGAAATGACACTTCTTAGACTCCTTTGCAACTATATTTCTGGACACTAATTAAATTCTGTTGGGGCAACACGCTTGCCTGAGACTTGGAGGGCGGCAGTGAGGCGAAGGCCACCTTGTTATTTCTCTTGCGGCCAAGTAACACTCGATGTGAGTTTGAAGCCAGAACCCACACACCAGTAGTCCCCAGACTCTAGTCACGGAAGTCCTGGGCATTGAGAGGCAGTTTGGCAGCTGATCTCTGGACTACGGCTACTGTGGTTTGCCCTTAAAAATCTAGACCCCAGTGGTGGCCTGTAACTTCCCCTTGTTTGGCTCTTCCTGCGAATTTTATAAGCACCGAATTCCTTGTTTTTAATCCCTTTCTGTTTAAAATACCTACAGTTGTTTCTGTTTCCTGAATCGAAATCCGACACACCCCCTTAAATGCTGTATCTAGCTGTACCCACTTTTCTGTGCGGGCAAGAGAAAATTATATGTAAATGCAGTTATTTTGGAAATGTAAATATGCGATGAAAAAGAAACTGATTGACAGGAGTTAGAATAATGGGTGAAAGAATTATAGGTTTTGTGCATGTGTATTTCATGAGTAGGGGAAGGGAGAATGTAGGAGGGATGAATCAAGCAGAATGACGGATAATAACTGGGCAAACCGAAAGATGAGCAGAGGACCCCAGGGCTCTACAAGGGGCTAACAAAGCACAATTGTAATTACTATGTTATTATTATGATGAAGAATTTGATCCAATAATTGCTTACATGTGTAGGGCCATCTAGTACACACAGTGCTCTCACATATGTTATTCTATTGGATCCTTACAATGAGTGATTCTGTGAGCTAAAGCATTTACAGTCCCTGTTCTGGATTTTTCATCTGTGGAAAGAAAGCAAGTTTCAGGAAGTTTAAGTGACTCCCTCAAGGCTGTAGCTAGTGGAAGTGACTTCCTCAAGGTTGTATCCAGATCAGAACCTCGAGGGTGCCGGATACAGAGATTAGTTTGGCTTGAGAATGAGGGAGAATTGAAGATTTCACACCATCAAGGAGGACAGACATGCTATTTTAAATCTGAACACAAAGGCTGCAGAGCCTACTTGTAAATATCCTTGCCTTTCTCAAGACTAGAAGGTGCCTCTTTCTTCTTTCTTAGCCACTAGCTCCTGGGAGGTGGAACTTGAACAGCCTGGCAGTGGGACCGAGGAGCAAACTGGATTCATTCTGTCTACTGCGTAGGTAAATTTCGGTATTCCGTAGGTGGTCTTTGGCTTGATGCTCCCATATTGCAGTAAAGTCATTCTTGCACTTAAAAGTCTAACTGAATTCTGATTACTCATCATGGAAAAAGGCACTAGGGTGAAGTTAGAGACTTAGTTTTGGCTGTAAGGTAATATGTAAGACAGAACACTGTTGGAGCGCTTGGCTGGCTTAGTAGGTAGAACATGTGACTCTTGATCTCAGGGTCATGAGTTCAAGCCCCACACTGGGCACGGAGTCTACTTAACAAATAAACAACATTGGGCAGCAGCTCTTTCTGCCCACAGGTCCTGTCCCTGTGCTTTAATAAACCACCATTTTGTAAAATAAATAAATAAATAAATAAATAAAATTATAAAAAAAAGACAGAACACCCTTTGGTTGCCCCTATCGGGGCGTATGGTAAAGGGAACACAGAGGGCCCCTGGTGTTTGTATACACCTCCCACTCATTTCCCCTTCAGCTCTCACACTTCCTGTCACATGGGTCAAGCCTACCTTAAGACACAGATAAGCAAGGGGTCCTGCTAGGAGACAGAGCTATTTCCATGAGGGCAGTAGGATACATATAGAGCTGCTCAGAAGTGGCCTGGGAGAGGGAAGGATGAATAAACAGTCATCCAGGGGAACCAAAAGGAGTTGGCACCATGATTTACTTCTATCTGGAGGACGCTTTAGTATCTGGTGCAAGGAAGATAGCTCTCCATCCCAGGGTTGACTGGCACCATGATAAAACACAGATGCATCTGATCCTGACCTTGGAATTTGTGGGGAAAAGGAAACACTGTCTTAGGAAGACTATAGAGCTTCCCCCACTTTTGCCAGGTCTGACGGCATTTGCTCTAGACTAGTCCCTGTCTCAGCAAATAGAGGCAACAGTCACTCTAGGGTTAGCTGGGCTTCTAACTGACTTGGGTAGAAGAGAAAATGAAAGCAGGAAGGGAGGAATTCACCTTGCCTCTAACTGTCTGTCAGGAAGGAGGATCTAAAGGGGACTCAAAGAAGGAGAGGGGAGTCTGAAACTGAGAGCTACTGTATGTGGATACGAGTAGGTAGACATTTTTAAAAATTACAGGTAGACGCACTCTAGAAAGCCAAGTGCAAGGACATTATAGATCATTAGGAATCCATAAAAATATACTCTCAGCCTTCCCCCACCAAGCTTTATTGAGATAGAATTAACAAATAAAATTGTGTATATTCTAGGTTAACAACATGATTTGTTATATGTACACAGTGTAAAATGATTACCACAACCAAGTTAATGAAGACATCCAGTTCACCCTCAGTTTTAATGCTGACAGATGGCCATGTAGCTCTTTGAACCAAAGGTGGAAAGATGCATTTAGAGGTCCCAAGCTCTGGAAGGTCTGCAATTTCACTTTGTAAAGGTGAGGAGGGTGAATTCTATGACTCACCTTTATGGCTGCTTGTGGTTAATGTTCTCGTGAACTGCCCTTGTGCACATGTCCATCAGCCTATGCAGGCTACAAATTTTCCCCTGCCATCCCTCTGGATGGGAGCTCTTCTCACTCTCCACACCTTTTATTTTTAAGTGGGGGGGGAAGAAAGGGAAGAAAGGGAAGGGAAGAAAGGAAAGGGAAGAAGGGAAGAAAGGAAATTTTGAGGTGAGTTTAAGTCATGTTTTCTGACTTTTTACTCTAAACCTGGGTGTGTGGAGGGGGTTAGAGGTTGGCAGAGACTGTGATCACAATTTTCCAAATTAGAAAAGGGTCATGGGAATCAAATGATTTGCCCAAGATCATTCTTTCATGATCATGGCAGGGCCAGGATTTGAACCAGTGCTGTCAGAGTCCAGGGTCCACTCCCGTTTCAAGGCTTCAAGCTGCCTTTTTGAAGGGAGACTGTGGGTGGGGGTACACACCTTTCTTGATCAACCACAGGACAGTGAAGTAGGTAAGGGTCTTTTGGCTCTCAAACATGATATCTAGGACTAGAAAAAGATGGAAGGTTATGCCAGCCCACTTTGTAAGCCCAGTGACATTTCTAGCTAAAGGCTGAGCACACCAACCTATCCAGAAGCAACTGCCAGCCAGAGTCCCCGGAGCCGGAATTCCAGTGATACATGGGGTAGGTAAGACAGTACTCACTGCCGATAATCACCAGCACCTTTGCTCTGCTTCCTCCCACACCAGCCCCCCTCTGCTGAGGCCTCCCTTCCCCTTCAGCTGTGAGACTTTCAAAGTTTTCTGGCTCACCTGGTCTTTGAAAGCTCTCCTACTTCGAAGATCTCTTAATCTCAGGGGACATCTCTTTTAAGGAAGACTTCCTGACAGAAGGAAACCACGGGCTAATTTTGGTAAAAATGCTTTAAAATCTTCCTGTAGGCCCATGACTCAAGGCTATCCATGCGTTGAGGTGGTCTCCAAGATGATTTGAGCAAATTCATCACAGTAGAGGAACTGTTACTTGTGAATAGTAAAGGGTTCTTCTCCTCAACTAAATGGCACCAAAAGGGTTCTCTGAAGTAATCAAACTTTGTATAATTAGAAATGATGGGTCTTTCACTTTCTCAGCCTCTCTGGAAAAATGCAGGAGCCATAATGTGGATTAAAATGATGTATGCTATTGAAAAGGAGGCAGATTCACAACACAATGAATAAGAAACTGCCTTGGAGGCTGTGATGTTGTTCGTTATTCTCCGTTCTCTTACCATTGTGCTCCTCAGCAAACCCAGGACACTGAAAGAAAAGAAAGCACTTTTCACAAGAGAATGACCTAAATCAGCTTTAATTTCTCAATCTTGGGAACAGAATTCAGAGGGGGAAGAATGAAGGTTGCTCACACCTTTTCCTAAAAGCGACTCTAAGGAAAAAATAAGCGAGTTCGGACAAGATGGGCCTTTTTCTTTTCTTTCTTTCTTTTTTAAGATGGAATTTTTGTAAGTTTAAGATGGGGTTTGGTATATTTGCTTGAGGTATGTGTGTGGGGAGAGGGAAGTGTCTTGCTTGGGGAGCATAAAAACAAGAGTTTCCATAAAAACTTTTGTTATGAGAGATGTGAATACTATTGAAAATAATATAACTTAAAGCTTAATATGTATAAATCCATGTTTACATGTAAAGAGGTAATTAGGCAGTAGTTATTTGACTATTGATGGATTTCTTGTCTTAGAGTTGCAAATAGGATTTCCCTAAATACCAAGATTCCTCATAATTTAAGAAATTAAATTGAAAAGCCAATATTATATTAATTTGCCTATGTTTCCTTTAGTTGCTCCCTTGATCGACCACTCCTCTATCCTGAATACACAAAAATTACACATGCTAAAGAAGGTTGCAGAAAGAAATGTTTAAGAAGCTTGGTAGATCCATTGTATACAAAGAATATTCATTCCTTACAGCTTGTCTGAATGATTCATTCTTGACCTTGGCCAGCTAGCCCAATTTTTCCTGAGAAGATGTGGTTTAAAGTGATAGACATTCAAGTTACTAAAATTATTCTATAACTATTTTTATTTCAAACTAACTAAGACTTACCTTCTTTCTACTTAGTCTGAATGAATGTGATAGTATAAAGTTTACAAAGTGATTCAAGAAAAATTCCAGTCAAAGAGAAGGGTGGTTGAGATGCTTTTTACTTACTAGATTTGGACCTTGCCTTTGAAACAGAAAGTAAAAAAGAGCCTTTTCTTTTATGGGTGTGGTAGACACTGTTGGTTGCCAATTCTCTTCCTTTTTTCAGGCAGTCATTCCCACCTCTCTTCAAAGCCAGTGTAGCTATGTGACCCAGTTCTGGCCAATAATACATGAGGGGAAATTGGCTCAGGTGGGAGGATGGCTTTACTTCTGCCAATAATTTTTATTTCTGATTAAAACAGAGGTGGGGGTTCGATAAAATTGTATGAAGATGTGGTCTTAGAGCTGTAACAGCAATTTTGTTACCATCAGATGACCATCCAAAGATAAACATTCAACACTCAAGGATGTCAGAGTGGAAAGATTTAAAAAAAAAAAAAAAATCTTTAATGGCATCATCGAGACACTTCCCAACCCTGGAACCATTTATCTCCAGATAAATGTACTCTTGGTCACATGCTCTCTGACTTGCAGCTATATGTATCCTGACTAATAAAACAAACTTAGCAAAGGAAAGGATTCTTCAGCTAGGGCGCCATTACCCCATTTGACATCTCTGTGTAAATTAGAAAGATACTTCTTCCTCTAGATGAATTTTAGGTCCCACTTCCTTTGCCAGGTGCCCTGGTCCCATTATCAATCACCAACTTGCCCCCTTAAGATACATGGGAGGGCTGCTTCTGCTCAAAGGACTCGGGTTGACGTTGCCAATTCCAAATAAGGAGGAGAGGGCAATGAGAGTTCCTTCTGTTTTCTGCCACTTGTTGACTTAATTTGATTTTTAACTGAGTGGCAAAATTTCAGGCTGTTGTTATTGCTATTGCTTTCCATTTTAAACAATGAATTTGTTTGTAACTCCAAATCCAACATTAAACTGTCCATTATTCAAAAATACAATTCTGGGAAAAATACTAGTTAATACAAAACTCTTTTTTAAGTTCATACTACCATACTTCTGCTAATAATCTGTTAAAATTGGGTTGACAAAGACAATATTGAAGCAGTATATCACTTGCAGTATGAAACTGGTATGGTGCAGATTAATTCTCCTATTCCTCTATTTAAACTACCAGAGGCACTTCTTTTGCATGAGAAAGAGAGGTAGCATGACATAATTTAACTTTCACTTGATGCAAATAAGAAATTTACATACTAGGTCAGCTACTACGCTTTAGCTGGCACTAAGTCATCATCATCATTTTTACCCAAAAATTCAAGTTATTAAATAACTTAAGTCAAAGTATTTTTCTATGACAATATCTTTCCATCTATTTTTGCAATTATCATTGCAAAAGCTTAGTTTTGTCTACATAACTGGTAAAATTAATTAACATAACCACAACAGTAGTTATGCAGGAAAATTATTGCCGTTTTGACTTTAAGACATGCAAATTTACAGGAGTGTGACATGCTTTTCCACTCATTAAATATTATATGCTGTTACTTTAGATATTCACTGGTACAAACTCAGCTAGAAACAAACACGAGGACTAACACTGTATGACAAGATCCAGAATAATCTCATATTAGATGATTATAAATTATAGACACAAGACTTTAAAAATCCTTTTTGAACTTATAGATGCATTTGAAAACTCTGAGATAACGCATTTAAAATGTCTAGGTCAGCAGCTGAATGGACAAAGCCCTTATCATAAGTAAACTCAGATATGACAGAGATGTCAGAACTAGACCAGGGAATAATATATATGATACATAATATATGTAAACATATTTACTTATATATATTATCCATATATTTTACAGATAAGTGTACATTTGTATGTTTATAGTTATATATTATATATAAAGATATTATATATAAAATATGTGAATAAATATAAACAAAAATAAATATATGTATAAATATATATTTATATATAAGTATATATACGGAGAGAGAGGAGTCATACAACTCAAGATTTACTATGAAGTTCTAATAATCAAAATAGTATGGAATTGGCAAGGGGAGAGACACATAGATCAATGAAGCAGAAAAACCCTGAAATAGATTCATCAATATATAGTCAACTGATTTTTGACAAGGTGCAAAGTCAGTTCAATGCAGAGAGTATGATCTTTCCAACAAATGCTGCCAAAACATTTTCAACATACATATACAGGAAAATAAGGAAAAAAATAACTTTAACACATGTTTCACAACTTAGGCAAAAATCAACTCAAACTGGATCATATACCTGAATATAAAATATAGAACTATCAAGCTTTCAAAAGAAAATACAGAAATTTGCATCCCCTTGGGTTTGGTAATTAGTTTTTAGATATGACACTACAAGCACAATCCATAAAAGGAAAAAATGAATAAATTGGACTTACTGAAATGAAAAACTTTGGTTTTGCAAAAAAAAAAGGTTAAAAGAATGACAAACTATAGAGGTAGAGAAAATATTTGCAAATCACATGTCCAATAAAGGACTTGTAGCCAGAATATAGAGAACTCTTATAACACAGCAAAGCACAAATAACCCAATTAAAAAAAAAAAAAAAAAGATGAGATACTTTTCCAAAGAAAACATACAAATGGAGAAAAGCATATAAAAAGATGGACTAAGTCGTCAATCATTAGGGAAATGCAAATGAAAACCACAATAGATACCTTCATTACAATGGCTAAAAAAATTTTTTTTAATTGACAATTCCAAATGCTGGTTAATATATGGTGCGTGACCACTGTCAGTCATTGCTCATGGAAATACAAAATGGTAGAGCTAGTTTGGCAGTTTCTCAACAAAGTTAAACATACATTTTTCACATGGGGCAACAATCTGAGTCCCAGGTAATTATGAAAGTGAACTGAAAACTTGTATATACAGAAAGCTATAAATGAATATGTATAGAAGTTTTACTCATAATTACCAAAAACTAGAAGCCACTGAGATGTCCTCGGGAGGTGAACAGATTAACAAGTTGCAATATGTCTACATGGTGGAATATTATTCGGCAATTTTAAAAAATATGAACTTTGGATTCACACAACAACAAAGATGAATCTTAAATGCATTTGCTAAGTGAAAGTAACCAAACTGAAAAGACTACACACTCTACGATTCTATTGATGCGGCATTCTGCAAAAGGCAATACTATAGAGACAGAAAACCCAGATTGGTGGTTGCCAGGAGCTGGGAAAAGGTTGACTGTAAAGAGGTGCACAATTTAGATTTTAGGTGATGGAGGTGTTCTGTGTGGTACTGTGGTGGTGGATACACCACCGCCTGCATTTGTCAACACCCACAGAATGGTACACTTATTCTAACAAGGTGTAATTTACTATAAAACTAAAAGTGAAATATACTATATGCAAATTTTAAAAATGCATGAGGATGTGGGGGAATCCCAGGATAGAATGCAGACTAAGAAATCTACCTGTATTACAAATAGCTTACCTATCTGAAACAGGTGGGGGGAAAGGAGCTGACCTAAGTAACTTTGGAAATGTGTTTGGATTAAAGCAAAGGCTGCTTTACTATAAGGGGTGTAAATTGGTGAATTTGTTCTCACGGGGGTAAAAGTCAGCAATTCTGAATCTACTTTGCATGTATACCAGGGTTGAACAAATAAGTCAATAAATTTTAGCTAATGGAAGCTAGGTTTCTCACTGTCAAAAAAAAAATAAATAAATTACGAATAAGCAGAGAAGGCTAGAATGAATTCTGGGGTTCTAGATTAAATCTGGTGATTACCAGTATGAATTCACTATGAGTGTGTTGTCACAAGTAGAAAGAAATAGAAATAAGTATTAATTTGTGTGTATATATATGGGTCGGCAAACATACATTTCCTTGTCTATTTGCCAAAGGGCCTAGAAGCAATGATACACATTAGCCATGAGTGCCCAGACCTTGTTTTCTAAGTATCAAATTCCAATAAAAGAAACAAAGGCTCCTTGAAGAAATGGCTGATTCTGTGACTAGGACAAGGAAAATACAAGTTGGAAACCTCTTGTTGTGCCATAAAGAAAGGAAGTGCTCATGAATGGAGGGAGGGAGAGATGGAAGGAAGGAAGGAAGGGATAGGGTATATTTGGAGGTATCCAAGACTACTAACAAATGCGGTGCCATGCTAGCAGAAGAACTCACAGGAAT